AATTGATACTGCACAATGTGTTTCGAATACTTTATGTGGCTATCAACTTGGAAATGCCTGGATAAAAGGTTTCCAGGGTAGCCATTCAACGCTTAAAGTACACAAATATTAGTTCATTTCTTGTCTCTAGAATACAAGGTGACAATATTATTTCCCAGTTATGCTTTATTCATGGTATATCAAAACAATATTTATTTCAATCAATATTGTAGCCAGTTAGAACTTCTTAACTCTATTGCTCTTAAAGTGCTGTTTGAAAATTCTAATCCCTGAGTCTCCCCCCGCTCCCCTAATACCTCACACTTGGGTTGACGTGCGTGGGGGTTTACATAAGGCATCTCTTTAATTGTCCCTTCTTTATCCAGTCGGACTATGTTGAAATGATAAAAGTACGGTTATTAACTTATTTAACTTGCAATTTAAATACATTTGGAATGGTGAACTTACTTATGTTGTTGCCTTAGAGATTCAATGACGAATGTGACTTCTATTTTCGTGTCCTTCAAATATAAAATGCTACATGAACAATAAATTTAAAACTGAATGAAAGCTTCAAAGGTTAATTTTATTTCCATCTACCTTGAAAGAATCTGTAGCGGATGTATAAGGAAATACGCTAACTCAAGTTACTACTTTGAAAACTTACTAAAATTTTGTCCGACCTATGGGAAATATATTTTACTGTACTTTTGTCAAAATTAATAATTAAATATACAAGCGATATTGTTAAAAAATAATAAAAACTGCATAGGGCTTGAAAATTATAACTCCCCGATTACGTTTACAAAGACATGTTTGGAAAAAATTCAACTAATATATTCGTAAAGTAGATTATACTTAGCGAGTATAGTGGACTGCTACACTAGTAAAGCCTTGACTGACTTAGAAATCTCTATGGCAGTATTTCCAGTATATCTGACTAGACTCCGTGAATTAGCTGAGCTACAGCTAAGCTAGGGAGGAAGGAGACGTGTTGCACAGAAGTCGTTCACTGCAAAAAACGACCTCGGCAGAGTGCGAATAGTTATCAAATAAATCGAGCATAATTTGTGTGAACATTAGAAGCTAAATGTCTGAGCAGGGCTCTACGTGTACGGCCGCACACCCCAAATCCTGGCGTGTCCCACACTAGTAACCTTAAATTTTCGTTTAATGTATTCCGGTTAGAATGGCGTACTTTTGTGCTAATATGCAAAATATGCCTCCTCAGATCACTTTTAATCTTACTAAATTCGGGTTGGGTAAAGTTAATTTAGTGAAACCAGGCTCATTAATGAGTTTGATAGATATTACCTAATATGAAGCCAAAAAAGTCAAAATTTCCGAGGTTACCCATTTAATGAGATATTAGAGGTTAAAAATAAGTTTGTTTTTCCAAATTTATTTTAAAGGAGATACTAACTATGAACAGAATATAAATCGTATAAGTGTAAGGCAGGTAATACTGTTTGAATGGAATTGGCAATGAACTGACCTATTATTATTAAAGTTATTCATCATACAGTTAAGGCTGACTAACCTGAGGCTTACAGTATACCTTCCTCAAAGTGAAAAATACTGAAACCGTGTGTTTTGGAATGGGTTGTCGGCGGGTTGGAATTCCGAAGCGAGCTTCATAACAGAAATCTACCCAAAATCGGCTCTCCTTTGTAGGAAGTTCTGTCAGTTTATATAGCCAGCCACAGGTGAGATTCCAGCTCTGTTGTGAAGATAAAATTAATTAGCACTGAAAATCATCACCAACGATACTGTTATTAAAAAGTGTCTGACTGTCAACAAAATTGGCGCAGTAAAAGCCATGTTAATAAAATTCAGTTAAAATGCTATTTTCGCCAGCATAAGTAAATATCTCGAATTATCCTATTTATACAATACTTCGGAGGTAATCCTAACAATATTGTATTAAGCGGATATTACAAAACGCTCATTTATGGTTTCTTTGTTGAAACCTTTTCCATATTGTCTGTAGTGACTCGTTAATTTGGCCACCTACACTTAATGATAAATATTATTTCATTTAAATCGAAGATGGTACCCCACTATTTACTTACCACTGTTTGGCCTCTTTTATGTATACTCTTATATAACTCCTTAGTATGCTATATGCTATAACCCTAGACTTATAAATCATGAAGAGTTATCTATTTGGTAGCTGGGCAGCTATATATATATATATGAAAGTAAGGCATCAAGAAATTGGAATCAGGTCATCATTATTGTCAACCCAATTCACACCAACATGTGATAAGACCATGCATCCTAATTAAGTATAACTGACCTTAATGAACGAATTTATTGCTTCTGCACCACGGGCAATTGTGAATTCCTCAATCGTAGGCCAATCAGTATTTGATGTCAGTTGAGAAGGATTAGGTAATTTAAAACAAGAGATCCATCTATTTCCAGCAATTTGCTTGGAAGGTAAATTGAGCTCTTTCATTGGAGCATCAATGAGATTGCATAGTTGCTGCCTTATAAACAAAGCAAAATTCTAATAACAGTAAATATTACCATAACAATTCGTTAAGCAACAAAATAGGAATAAAGATGTAAGCCTTTGAAAGGGCTGATAACACCCATCATTTCAATTTGCTTTGCATTAGCATTAAACCAAAGATTATAGAAAAATGAGACAATGTGAATTCCAATACCGAACCATAACCATATATATTCGATTGAGATTAACATTTAAAGTAGATCGAAAATCGGAAAGCAAATATCGTTCACATATTTTAAAGAAGCCATTCATTTTCATAAAATGAACAAAATTAGCATCGCAGATTAAATTACCCCAAAAAATAACCCACAGTTATTCATTAGTTTCCCATTCCAGTCCCTTTAAAAAAATACCTTGAAATAGAGAGTGAACTGCCAGACATTTTAAGCTCTAAACTTTTGTACTGTCTAGCAGATTTGGGGCTAACTTTTGTCATGACAACCGAAGAAGCATTTATTATTCACAAGCCTCGTAATGATTTCTTATCAAAGTAAAGGTTGAAATGAAAATCTGTCAAAAATATTATTGATAATTTATTAATTCTAAGTATATAAGAATGCATCGGTAAAATTTATTAATGATCAAATCAAGTTGCATCATGATCGACGTTTAGCATAATGATTATACACTTTCATGGTAGTAAACACAATGTTAAAGTGGGTTTAAGCCCTCTCAGTAACCACTTTTGTTACTTGAATGGAAAAATCCAAGAAAGATAGCCACCGAAATCGATTTGCCACTTATTTCAAATCTGGAATCAAGGAAATGAATGGCGAATAAGGGTAGAGGGGAACATAATACATCAGATGAGTGACTTGAAGAAAGGCGAGGTAAATAATCTAAGGGGTAAATTAACTATGCGAGAAACTAGTCAAATTAAGACAAACTGCGAATTTGCTACAGGAATTTAATAAAAAGTTTTCAGGTGTTAAAAAACAAAAAATAAAAGGTCTACAATTAAAATTTCTCCGGATTTCTTACATCTAAAAGAAAGGAGATTAGTTAAATATTGCAATCGTGAAAATAAGGTATTTTATTACCCGAATGAGGTGCCATCACATTGGGTAGGTAAAGTTGAGGTACCTGATATTAATTAGTATCTTTTTCTGTAAACAAACTATGTTGTAAATATTCAACGAATAACAGCTCTAAGACACATACTGTTATTAATAGTTGTAATTAAATTATTCGGATATAAATTTTGTTACAAACTTAAATTATAGACTCGTAGTAACGAAAATTGTACTACCAATAAGGTCAAAGGAATGATTAATTCTAAATGAAACACGCAGTTCGTTCAAACAAAAAATCAATGGGGAGAAAAATTCTGACTTATTTTCCTTTCGTCAATCGGTTAAAAGAAAAGAACTTACAAATTCATACGACCAATGTACCATAGGAAATGTTTTCAAATACATGGGGTTTTGTGTTCAAGTAAAGCTTTCTGGACTTCAAGATTTCATAGATAAATAACAAAGTTTATTTATTTCAAATAGTAGACGTTTTGATGGATGTTATTAGTACTTTAGCTGACTTTGGGATTCACAGAGGGAAAGAAACACCAAAGGGAAAAAAGTCGAGAGGGGAGGGGGAAAGAGTGCTTCAAAGATGTAAAAGAGACGGACACAAAGTTAGAAAAAAGGTGAGGTGCGTGCTGTGGAAGTAGTCGAATATGACATAAAGCGGGGTCATGATAGTTTGAAGTGAGAAGTCAACTGCCGATTAATAGACTTTTTGCCGTATGAGAATACGTTGCCCAGGGTGCACCACGTGGAGGTAAGTCTATCGCACACAACATAACAAATTTTGTATTTATACAAAAATCAAAATTTCCCAAACTTCATTCTAGTATCATGTTATCGCGATATCTGGCAATATGCATGGTCATCGACCAAACAGCATCACTTTGAAGCTATCAGTTAAACATGGTTTAGCTGTAAAATACTTCCAAATAGATTTAGAATAAATATTCATCAATGAGCAAATTTTCGCTACTGTTGCGTGTCCAGTACCATATCGTATGCTATATAATAATTGATCGTTAGATTTAACAAATAAATAGTAAGTTACTACTGTCACCGTAGATGAGGAGGGTGAATGTGTTCGAAAGGTTATTTGTTGTAAGTCGGATAATAAAATAAGTCAGAGAAGTTTGAGAAATGTGTCCAATTTTGACATTCTATATACTCAAAAAATGAGAGGTTGTGAAACTTCTTTAAAGCGAATATTTACTGAATTTCAAAATATGGCTTTACGGTAGAAAAGTTTGCTGTGGTTTTATTTACCAAGTTTCATCTCCGTTTACAAATTATCTTTAATATGTTAATGCTAACAAAATATTATATATAAAATATATAGAATTTTACTTAAAAATATAACATTGGACTTAATTTTTTAATAGTATATTGTTTGTATGCATCTGGAAGTTGCCTCCTAAGTCGTACTGGTCATTATTTCACGTGAGTGTCTGTGGCCTCCCTGGTAGTGCCATTATATTTTTGCGATGACTACTGAAGATATTTCGAAAGATGAAAGTCAATCGTTTCCTCAGGGGGTTGAAATTGAGCCGATATGTGGAAATCTCGAAAGTGAAAGCCTTGAAATCAAAATTGTGATCTCTAATAAAGAGAAAATCGAATTGACGGTCTCTCCAAACGAAATTGTTCAAGAAATTCATCGTGCTATAACAGAGCGTGAGGATTTTTGCCATCGCACCTGCTTTTATCTGACATTTAACAACGTAAAACTTGATCTATATACCGATATAAAGTCCATTGCTGGTCTTAAAAATGGTTCTGAAATTCGCTTGGTTGAAGGTAATTGTAATCTTAACCTTAAAACATTTTCAGATCAATATTGTGGTCTCGAGGCTCGAAATCATATTAGACATGTCCTCGATATAATGAATTCCCTCAAGCCTTTTGATGGATATACCGGCAAGGATAACTTGTCTCCGACTTTCTTTTCCACAATTGTTGCAGATAAAATAAAAAGTTTCTTTCTTTTATCTCTTTACCTTTCCCTTTAGCTGAAAGTCATCAGGGTTTGAGCCTCGATCTCCCCAGTTACATCACTGCTAAACAACCTTTAGCTGAACCGCCTTTAATCCCCCTGCATCCGATTAACGAAGCGGATGCAGGCATTGACTGCCTCAAGCAGTTAGTTCTCAGTAATTACAATCCTCCAACTGCAGCTCGTCGTATGGCCGGTGATTTGCTTTATCTTGAGGTTACTTTCATTGAGAATAAGTGCTGTCATATTACTGCTTCTACTAGAGGGTTCTTTGTTAATCAGTACGTTCCTATTTCCAATCTTTCACTAAAAATTTTTAGATCGACTGATGAGGTATTCGACCCAAGACCTCTAACGAATGGTACTACTATGCACTCCATTGTTGACCTCTTTAAAAGCCTGAGTAGCAAATTCAAAACTGGTTTTGAAGCAATACTCAAAAAGAGGTCAAAAATGAGTCCATATGAACGGTACCCAGGTCCTTATCGGGTGAATTCGTGGTTGGCTCCGTCTCTGCCGCATACGGCGAATTCGCTTCGCAAAGAAGAAGGTTAGTTCACTTTCCCTCTTATTGATTATTCTTCCTTGTAGCGTTTACAATCCGTCTAGCCTTTGAAGAGAATCTTCCTGGAATGACTCGCGATTGGAACGATGAATTACAGGCCACTCGTGCCCTAACTGAGAATGAGCTGCTTCGTGATCGAGCTGTATTCAAATCAAACAGTGATTTTGTTGCTTCTTCTGTTCGCACTGCTATGAACGTTGTCAACGGTGAGGTTCCGGCCATAAACCCGGGTGAAAATCGTCGCCAACAAATGTTTATCTGGAATAATATGTTCCTATCTCTTGGTTTTGACGTAAAAGAGCATTATAAAGAGCTTGGCGGCGATGCTGCTGCTTATAGAGCTACTGTAAGTTGCAGTTCGTTTCAAATAATCTGATTTTTCTTTCATACTAATTTTACTCCCTTTACAGAGCTGTGATTTGAATGGCGTTAAAGCCTATTCTAACCTTCCATTCAATGGTCTTTGTACTCTTGGAACTGCACTTGTTGATTATCTTGGTTATCGTGTTACTGCACAAACGATCATCCCTGGAATTCTCGAAAAAGATCAAGAGCAACTTATTGTTTATGGGTCGAATGATTTTGGCAAAAGTGTAACTGATGATGATCGCTACTCAAAGCTCCTTTCTGATTCTGCTGATGCACTAAAGATTCGACCTCACAAGTATGTGTAGTTTTTTCAGAATTAATGGAGTTACTCGTGTACTTATAACTACTATGGTGCGAACTTTTCAGGATTATTGGCAAAGATGGTAAGGTCATTGAACTGAAATCATCGGTTGATTGCAAGGGTATAATTGGAAATGACGATCGAACTTATCTCCTTGACTTTTTCAACATCTTCCCTCCGGACGTGAATTACTTAGGAGGTGCACCAAAGAACGCACGACCTGTGCTTTCTAAGACGATGCAGGATCTCGGTTATCCCTACAAACATCCTCATCTCCTATCATGTGTTCGACAAGAATTGGTTGAAGCCTTTTGCGAGTGCGTTTAGTTCATCAATTTGAAGTTCTTTACACGCTTTTCTATTTCTCATTTTTACTCCAGAGTGAAGTTGGAGGCTTTCACAATTGAGACTTGCAGAGAATACCGCAAGTTGATTCACGCACAAAACGGGGTAATCTATCTTGTTTTGATACCTTAAGTATAATTTCTTTAATCGATAATCCACTGGATGTGTTCTCCTACAGGAAAATGACGAAGGCAAAGGTAAGCCTGGTGCTCAAGTAAATGGAGAAAACATAGCCATCTCTATCGAGGAAGAGGAAGAATACTATGCAGTTATGAAGCCTGCCATTAAAACGGCTATGGCTGAGGAGCCAGGTTTGTATTACTTTCATATCTATTTTAGAACATTTTTTGGTTCTAAATTTGTCTTTTGTTTTCAGAGGATCCCATAATGAAACAGGCTCTTGAAAAAACTTTGGAGCGGTTCCCAATTTTTGATCAAAACTACAAGATACTCTTTAATCCTGATGCCTACAAAACTGCAATCACGTTCGCTGAAGAGGAGGTTCGTAGTTTTTTTAAGAAATCCCTACCTGAACGAATACTGATTTCCAAAATGTCAAAAAAAGCAAATTAGAAGGTGATAGATTTGTATCTTGTAGGGCTGTAGCTAGAGGAACCCCTAGGGCTGAGTATTTAACATCATAGATGTGGGGTAGATTGGCTAACAGTAAACATCTATTTAACATGTCGATTTCTATCGTAGAAACCCAAGCTAGAGAATGACAAGAAGCTCATCAATGACTTATGTGAATTCTTGGTTCTCGAACAAATTCCTTCCCTCATTCGTGACTGTTCAACTTTCACTGTCATTCCCCAAGATGGGAAGACTATTGTGGAGATTATGCACCAACGGTAAGTACTTAAAATAGCTGAGCCTTAATAAATACTCTCCTTGGTCCTCATTCTCTCTTTCCTTTGCTTTGTAGGGGTATTAATGCACGCTATCTGAATAGAATTGCCAAAGAGCTTCAAGACAAACCAAATCTTGAATACCTTCTCGTAAGTCTTTCATTCCAGCGGGAGACGTCTTTACTTTATCTAAGCTTTTCTACTCTTTCTTTAGAATATGACGAAATGTGAAATCGTGGTGCGAGCTGCCAAGCATTTATTCAAAGCCTACATGCAAGATGTTGATCAAGTTTGCCTTTCTGCTGCTGTAGCTCATTTCCTCAACTGTTTCCTCACGACTCAAACGAACCTTCAACCTCTTAATGGCTTGGATGCGGTACTTAAATCCGAACCTTTATTCGATTAAATTTTGGTTTGAGATTTTGCTATTGCTATTTGCATTTTTAGCTTGTCCCCAAACTTCCAAAGGCAAAGTCCGCTAGAAGACGCGGAAAGGCAGTAGTTTCACCCAATACTCCACGTAATTTTTCTTATTTACTTTTTCCGTTCTATGAGCAACCGGTTTTTTCAATCTTATTCACCTTTTTTTAGTCGAAATGATGTGGTCTACGGAAACGGTGGCCACATTGTGGGCTAAATTAAACAAAGAGGTCAAGTCCTACTTTCATTTTGATTTGGGAGTGTAAGTTTGTGCTTCCATATTTGAATACTGGTTTTTCCTTCACTTTCTCCAGAAACTATTTTTCCCCTTTAGAACAAATATGGATGAATTTCTAAAGAGTACCTCGCAATTACGTCTAACAATGCTTCGTGCGTTCTGTCGGACAGTTGGAATTCAATTAGACCTTCAGGACTATTTCACTAAGATCAGATCACCTGACATATTCAGTGTCGAGGATATCGTTGGAGTGAATCCAATTGTGAAACACTTGGAGCCGCGTCCTCTTCATGCACATAGGGTATTCGCTTCGGCTCAAAAGAAAATCACCGAAGGCAAATTGGAAGAGGGTTTCTCAGCTATGTTGGAAGCCGTTAATCTCTTTACAGCTGTTTATGGACCTCTTCATGAGGACATTGGAGCTTGCAATCGTATTCTTGCCCGACTTTCATACGTCCTGGGTACTAGGCATAATGCCCTACAATATCAGACACAAGCTACTCTTATTTGCGAGAGGGTTCTTGGAGTTGATCATCCTAGCACTGCTGCTGAATATGCAAGTTCTGCTTTCCCTATTGCCTCTTGTTTCTTTGTTATCTTAAAGTATGACGATCTGAGGTAACCTAAAATCATAAAAGAGAGGCTTCTAATATTTGTTCAGGCAGAATCGACTCAAAGTACTTACCTTGTTTAAGGCAAAAATAAGGAGCTGAAATTCTGCACTGAACAAATACTAGAAGCCTCTCTTTTATGATTGTCATTGTAGGTGAGAAAATGAAAGGTGGATGTGAAGGGTAACTTTGTCTTGTATTTTTAAGGAATGAGATTTGGGAATTGAGTCAAATGCCAATCAATGCCCTCGAACTTATTAACTGATCTTCGCGGTCATCTTCAGTCTATTGTTGATGATGGCCAATATCTTAAGTACTTTCTACATTTGTCAAAGTAGCATTGGTCTTTGCTGATTAAAGGATCTTCACATTCTCAAAATAGTTGGTTTTTATCAATGGGAAAGGGTTTTTAGAGTTTTTTAGACTTTACTTTGTTTACTGGCACCTTAATCAACTCTGAAGTAAGATTACTATTAAAAAGCAGTTTACTTTTTAACTATTCAGTTTGTCAAGGTACTGGTAATTTGATTGTGGATTTGAACTTTCTTAGTGCGTTAATTTTTCAATCATTTTAAAAGTTCTCATTTTTTGCTGCTAACTATAGCCTACTTAAAGTATATAAGTAGCTAATTGTATTTTATTTCCTATTAGAGCCACTTGGCCCATTACTGTTTCGCAAACAACAACTTTACTGCGGCAATGAATGCGCTCTGTCGAGCCCGCTATTTAGCTGTTCTTTGTCATGGCCCAATACACCCGGAGATCGCTCAAATTGATGTCAATCTTGGTCTTCTACTGCAAGTCGGTAGGCAATTCGTTCCGTCAGTTGAATTTCTTGAAAATGCCCATAGGTTATATAAAATGTGAGTTTATAGACACACAACTGTTGCTACTAGTGCATTTCTAATGGTTTTATTTTCCACCATCATTCGAAAGGTTCCATGGCGAAACTTCTTTAAAGGTCGCTTTCACAGCGCACTTACTGAGTTGTGCATACTGCTACTTAGATAGCATGAGTGCTGCCGTGAATTATGCGAAGGAGCGTGTAGCTATTTACTCCAAACATTTTGAGAAGGGTAATCAATTCCTCTTGGACAGTGAAGCCATCGTTAGCCACATGCTTAGAAGAGTTCATACTGAAAAAACGCTTTTGGAGTCACCTCCCACTCCTCCTCAGATCCTGGATGTGATGAATCGCATCAATGGCATCTTCTACATCACATTTGGGTAAGTATTCTCGTGCCTCTGGTTAAGTGGATGTCTCCTTTGAAGTGACAGTATGATCAAATTGTAATGATTATGGTGAACTGCTTAATGCACTACCACCCTTACAAGAGAGAAGTTAAATCGTTTGTTGAAGACTTAATAAAGGCTAAGGGTAATTTCAGAGGTTTGAAAGAACAGGAGATGGTGTGTATGCAACAGTGTAACTTGCGGGTGTACAAGGGAAGTATTTATACTTCGGAATTCCCCTGCATTTAATCCAATATATGAAGTAGCACTAAGTCTTTTGATGTCAAGTCGGATAATAAGGCCGAACTGATTCCTTAGTAAGCTTTACAGTGAAGATGAAAAGACGTTATTTCAGACAATGATTAGGGAATATGGGCGGGTGTGTAAGTACCATAAAGGTGTAATAAACATGACCGTTACAGCTCTCACACTTCTTTAATGCTAGATTTTTCCATGCTGCGGTTGTTGACTAGGGCCTGGGGAAGGAGATGAGATATTCGTGTGGTTACTTCTAATGCACTGCTAATTGAGCAAAGGTTCATTGTGTAGATAAGACAGATAAATATAAAAGAATACGAAACAGGTACCAGGAAGTATAACAATTGCCTCAATGAGAGCGATGACTGATAAATAGGTAGCCTAATCTAGTCCGAATCCATACTGATCTCCCAATCCTGCCACCCTGTTAGTAACTAACTACTATTCGCACAAGCGAATGCGTTTGCTCAAAGGGCAGTAAATAGTTTATCAAGAGTAGTTAGATTTGGTTCTTAAAGATCGAGAGTGTGGGTTTGTTACTTCTCATGAAGTCTTTTAAGTGGGTCGCGTTGAAACCGACTTTGGTGTGTTGTAACGTTTCAACCTTAGACCTTATGTAGACAAACGAAGAGCATTAATGCTTGGAAACGCAAGGATCAATCAGTCCTTTTGAATTGGTATATTTGCAACTACCTTGAACATAGCGACTGTTATGTCCTATTTAATTAAGACACATTAGTTGCAGATTAGGGGTACTCCATTTTTTACAGATTAACTGATCAATGTTTCGGGAAGAACTATTCGTGATTTGATCTCTTTTTCTTTTATTTTCGTAACTAGCATTCAAATTAGGAGTATTACATTTTCTTATAGTACCGTTTGATTAAAATTTAATTGATGGATTAGTTTCTCTCCATATCATTTTTTAGTTTTCTTACCTTTTTGCCATTATTTGTTTCTCCCCTAGCAAATACCGATACTTATATAGAATTGCGCCCAAGAAGCGATCAAGGTAAGTGCATTAGGCGCAGATCCATAGTGACATTGTCGGCATTTTACCTTTTATATTTGTGAAATTGAAACTGATTTTTGGTAATATTGTGTATTCCATGCAATTTGTCTTTCATTACGATGAAATCCTCGTGATATTTGTTGGTGCTTCTTAGTTAGCTCCCTCTCAGCCGCCTATTCTGGTCTACTTCATTGTGTAGCTCAGTTGTTTTGTGAGATTGTGTGCCCGAAGTATGGACATACACAAACCTCGTTTCGGTTTTTTTTTCATGAACTATTTTTCCCCATCCTCACCATAGCCATACTTGATTTGCCAAGATTGCCGGAATTAGAGCCTAATGCCTTTCAGCGGATAGTTCATTATATTGCCATACTGACGTTATGCACCATTACTTAATCCCTGAATGTCTCGATGTTATAACTTTCCTTCGTATTTATAGTTTTAGACACCATTTAATTAATATCTTGTCTAGGGTAGTTGATAACTAATTTCCCTATTCCATTTTCTGCAGGAAAAACAAGGAGGCCGGTGGAACCTTAAATGGAACAATGGAAACTAATTCCACTCTTACTATCGAAGAATGCACAACTGTGGCCCGCGGCGAAGAAGAGGCTACTTTAGTAGGAACCGCTTAAATGTGACTGGGGCACTTAGAATATGTTCATTCCCCCTCCCGTTCCATGCTCTTTCACTGTTTCTGGTGTATATTATTCAGCCTGGACCCTAGTGTAGTTTTAATAAGTGGTTTATATAAAAAGTCTTGCGCTTTTTTATGTCTTTAACGTGTAGTATGATGATCAACCACAGGCCTCTTCCATCAATCGTGCCCCTTTCTGACATTTTCAACTAATAAAACTACTATTTTTAGCATTGGAGTGCGCGTTACTTAATCGTTTTAAATGAATTAACCATTTAAACTGTCGCCCAAATGAAGAGAGTGCAACAACTACTCAACTTACCTTCGTCCTTTTTTAAACTCTCCATTTCTGCCTGCACAGTACTGATACGTGTTGTCTTTATTAACAAATCGGATTGCTTCATATTTTCAAGAAGTGGCCTGATTTGGAAATCACGAACGAACGCAAAGATACCCTACTGTGAACATGATTGGTGGCTCGAACTGTCCTTCCATTAGTAGTTATGCGAGCGAATTGCTATCTGCCACTGAGTGGGAATTTCCTCCGTCGATCCCTCCTCTTTGGCTTTCAGCAGAACATTTTTTTTGAGCGTGTCGACTAATCATTGGTTGTGGTTGATGTTGGGCGGGGAGGGGGTTGATGGGTGTACAAATCTGATCAGTAGTTCTACGACATTTATCGAAATGCGTCGGACAGGGCCGTGTTCTATTATTTGACACCGGGACACCATATCTAGTGAAGGTCCCATCAAGGGTACGGATGATTGTTGTAGAGCTTGTTGTTGCCATTGAGTGTGAGTTCACCCATGTTAGGTAGATAATGCCACTGAAAGGATCATGAATATCGACATAAACTCTACCTTATTGCGTCTTCGTTGGGGACCAAGGCCTTCCTTTCAATTTACCCGGGACAAAAAATGTCCCTCTGGAGGGAAGGAATTATTAGTTCATGAACTTCATGCAAGGAAGTGGAAAGCGCCGTAATAACTAATAGATTGCTGGAATGAGTGCATGTCGAAGCATAAGTTGAAGATGACATGTTCACATTAGCTCGAATTCATTTAGGGCCAGCATGGTGACTTTCCAAATGGGAAAAGAGTTTGTCCAACTTCCATGATATCATCTAGGTATGCAGTTGTGTTCTAAAGTCCACTAATTATTTTTGCACTCCGAATGAAAGTCAAGTAAAGTGGTTTAGTGTTTATTGGTGGTCAGATATTTACGACATTCCTGTTTCGAACTCGACTTGCAGATAAGACTGATTAATTCAAACTTCATCAATCATATGTCATCGTGGAGAGTTACAAGTACATCCTCAGCAACTGGAAGAGGTTGGCGGTTATGTCCAAGAACTGTCATAGAAAAATCAGCATATAAACGTACGCTGTCATTCTGTTTTTCGCATCCGTAATTGGTGCGGCCAGATTAGAATAGGGTACCCTATGTAAGACACCAACTCTTTCAAAGCATCAGGGCTTTTCTACCTTCTAACATTCTTCAAGCCGTTTTAGATCGCCTACGATGGGGTCTAATTCTTTTCTCCTCGGGGATGTTAGCCAGGTCTTTTCTGAACGAATTCTTACATTCAAATTGCATTTAGATTAATGGAAAATTCATTGTCATACTGAGTGGGGTTGCCAGGGCACATTTTAAGGGTGAAATTTTCGAATTGTCGGCAGTTTCAAGAAGCTTACCTGTTTAGGAAAAATTTCTTCCTTTTTTAAATACTACTACTTTTGCACGAAATTCGCAAGTTTATCTGTTACTGAAGAAATTTAAAAACAAGGTGTTATTTTCAAAACCATGCAACATATTTTCATTAAACCCCAATGCACATTACGCTGACAGCGTTCCGAGCAATTGCTGGTCACCTGGAGAACTTGCATTGATTATTCCAACTACTCAACTTTGTGGCACCCATGACGGCGTGGCACCACTCAAGCTGTCAGTAACTGATCCACTTTACTATATTTGTCTATACTTGCGCGTTTCAATATGGCGCTTCATTGTTCATTTATTTATATCAAATATCAGGCGTTTTGATAGCTATCATTAGCCCTTTAGTTGACTTGGAGGCGTTTTGATAGTTATCATTAGCCATTTAGCTGACTTCGCCGGCGTTTTGATAGCTATCATTAGCCCTTTAGTTGACTTCAAGCTTCACAGAGGGGAAGGAACATCGAAGTGAAATAAAGTTGAGAGGGGGGGGGGACAGAAGAGTGTTTCAAAGACGAAGGTATAAAAGGTAGAAAAAAGATGAAGTAAGAACTGTGGAAGTAGTCGAAAATTACATATAGTGGGTTGATGGTAGTTTGAAGTCAGAAATAAAATTCCGGTTAATCGATTTTTTGAACCAAAAGAAATTCTTCTTGCGTATGTGATTATTCTAGTGTCGAAAATTGTGTCATTTCGTCGACAAGATTGGCCCTATTAAAAGTAGCGACCTAGACGAAATTTAGTCTAAATTTGGCCAATAATCTTTACTATGGGAGATGATTTAAATACCGCTAAAATTAGTGGAATAAATTTCAGTATAAACTCCGCACTTGAAGGAAAAATATTAAATCCGAGATGCTTCTCGTTATCGTGCTTGAGATTATGATTTGAAGAAGAAAATGTGCTTAAATATTAATTGCTGAAATATTAATGCGCAGCACAGTAGCCAAAATGCAACATGATGGCAAAATAAGGACAAAAGTAGT